GTCCTTGGCCATATTTAATTCTGTTTGTGAAGACAGTGATTGAGATGTAGTTTTAGGCAGTATGCAATCTGAGCAAAGATCATGATGAAAAAAAGAATGGCTCTGTGTGTGTGTGCATGCACATGTGTGTATTATGCACACAATTTTAAAAATTGTACTTAAGAAGTTTTTTTGTTCTTTTTTTAAAGTGTCTGGCAGCACATTGACTGCATGGGGATTGACAGGCAGCATATTCCTGACATATATCTGTGTGAACGTTGTCAACCAAGGTGAGTAGTTTCATTGGTTCTGGACTCTGAATAACTAGAATGAGTAGAGAATATAAAAGGAGGAGGTGGCAGAACAACCAATGGATAAAACGCAGACCATGTAGCATAATCCTGACAATTCTGGTTAAAGGATTGAAATTTCTGATGCAGATGATCTTGCCCGTCTTCGTTTCCTTGTTCACAGCAGTCATTGTTTCACCTCACTAGGTGACAGGGGTAAACCCTTGAAGCACTTACCGAAATAGCAATGATTTTTGGATCCTGTCTCACACTGACAGGTACATAGACAGTCCATTCCATATTCTGTTTCATGGCTGTCATACATTGAGAACCTGTTAACAGCTGTTTTCAGGTCAGCTGCCCCAGCAGTATTTCTCAGTGTCTTTATGGCCCCATTCCAAAATGCTGTAGTGCTCGCTTGGAGGATTTCTTGTTGTGGAATGAGTATATGCGTGCCCCTGCTCAAACTTGAAGTCATATGACATGACAAGGAGGGCATTTTGTTCTGGCTGTGTGGTAGGTGGACTATAGCTGACTGTCATGATAGTTGTCCTATGATGTAGAGTATAAAATGCTACCTGTTGCTTATGTTGCAGATTGTTAATTAAACATTGAATAAAAGACGTGTGTTCAGAACATTTTAATTACCAGTAAATGATTTATTTATTTCTGAGAAATAGTTCGCACATTGTTGTCGTAGAATATTTGTTTTGTATTTTTTTGGAGAACCTGCAGGAAAATGGTTTAATGCCTGCTTATCTGTAATCCATGGACCAACTGTCAGGCTTTCTCCTGAGCTATCAAGTGTCTGTATGTTTTCAAGTGATTTAGATACTTGCATGTGTTCTGCATTACAATGGAATGAAACAGTGCACAACTGATATTTTTCCAAGTGTCTAAACGTACAGCTGTCTTTTCTGTATTGAGCTATCTATTCTGTAACCATCAATGGAAAATGGTAACTATGGAAAGGTCTGTTCTAATACTTAGATATATTGATGTGTAAGTGTGAAGAATTAAATAAAATTTATTTTTTTAATTTCAGGAATTTAGATAAAGAAAGGGCAGTGCTGTTGCAACGAAGGAAAAGGGAAAATATGTCAGGTGAGTACAGCTTAAAGATTTTTTCCTTAGTAAAGGTTATAAAATAAGTAAACTGTATAGACTTAAGAGTGTATATGCAATTCCTGTGATTTTTTTATTATTATTTTTAATAGCCTTCAGCATAAAAGGTTCGGTAAATCAGTGCCTTTTACTTGACTTTATTGTTACTAAGATAATGTTATATCAGAATTGTTGCAGTTCCACATGTTTTATTAAAGGTTGTTGCCAGCGCCTTTTTCCTTATCATTGTGGAATAATTCAATCTGTTTGAACATTGTTAAAGTTTCATAATAATGAATGTAGCTTTTATAATTACTAGTTGGAGTAAGCTACTGAAGATAAGATAGAAAAGGTTCAGGTTTCTTCTGTGGGAAGAGAGGATTACTAAGTTCTTTTTTGGAAAAAAATTATTTCACAGTTCTGTCATTTTTTCCATCATAATATAAACTACTTGTATCCTCATACTGATCTCTTAGAATTATTCCATTGGAGATGATAGGTAGATATCTTGATGCCTATTTCATATGCCTTCTGAAAATTCTGAAGTCTGTGATGTGGCCTAGAAGTGTGTGTTGCTTTTAATAGTGCTTCTTGATGTGGTTGATACTTTTCTGCTGTCCAGTGCTAAGCTGGTTTAAGTCCTTTAAACGCATTAATGACTTAGAACACCACAACCATTTTTTGTTTTGTCTGTTCTCATTTTAAAACCAAACTTACTTTGTAAAGTTTTCGTTGACCTGCTAGATGGTACAGGCTTTTTAAATTTGCAATTAGTTTTTGCTGATTCTATTAAAGTAATACAACAAGTACATTTATAATTGATTTGGAGTTAATGAGTTCACTAAGTGGTATGTTGATGTTGTGAAGATGAACTTGAATTTACCTGCAGAACAAGAAAAATTGATGGTCTGAGCTGTTTTAAGTAATCTCTCAGGGTTGGTAGCCATACTGTCTGATTATTTACCGTAAGCTTTAAGGGAGGAGAGCCAGTAAAAATCTTAGCAAGAGCTGAAGAGATTTTACCTTTGAAGTTAGTGTTCAGCACTCCTTAATCCTGGTGATCAGTCTTTTAAGTCTGCTCTGTGCATTCAATAGGAAAAAAATACTAAATGGTAAGTCTTAAGTGTCAAAACAGAGTAATAGCAAAGATCAATTCTAATCCTGTTTAGTCCATGACTCAGTTGAGTGCAATATTAATTACTGTGATTTATAGTGCATAACTTGAAATGAACGTATGCTTGCATGTGTATTTAATTTTCATTTAGCTAGTACATTTTCTTGGCTAAATGCACTTTTTGGGTGTTGACTGATATTACATGATTTACTCAGACTTAAAGTAATTCTGGGTATGAACTGTCTACCATGAGACATTAGTAAAAATGGCCATTTTCATAGATGATTCCAAGTAGGAGAAGCAAAAGTGGCATTAATTTGAATTTATCTATTAAATGTTTTAAGTATTCAGCAGCAGTAGAATGTTACTTGTAACTTAGTAATAAGTTAGAGGTGTTTGATTGAAGGTAAAATTGCATTATTTGTATGTTCTTTGAGTAAGTATGTGTATATATATGGCTTTTTTAAGGCTTACATATAATAGGCCTTTTCATTTAAATATGACAATACTTTACAGTATAATGGTTTTTATTGAAAAGATTTCTAAAGAGTTGCTGCTTTAGCCTTGTTGCATCCAAATCTAAGCAGTGGGGAGCAAGTAGTAGATCAGTTGGTTTGCCTCAAAAAAATGAGCTTTGAAGTGAACATTTCACTTGATACGAAATTTGATGAGAGTCTTAAACTTACATGCATGACCACATCACCTTTTTTCCTGGCAGTATTTATAGCCCATTGTCTGCGGTTTTGTTGTTCTGGTATAACAGTGTAATTCTGATGTGGCTTAACTGTGCATTGGATTGCTAACTATGGTTCAGTGGGTGAGCACCTTTAAGCCCCTAGTCAGTTGTATCTTGGATGTTTTGAGTTTGGTTTTGGTTGTTTGGGGTATTTTTGTTTGTGTTTTGTTTTGTTCCTTGGGTTTATTTAGTAAGATATAGTATCTAGATGTATACCGTGTTCAAGGATGTTGCTTCAAGCTGTCTGGTCTTGAAATTGGTGCTGATGAAAATCACTTGCTGCTTATGAGGAAATGAGTCTGTTCCCATAAGTTCTTGTGAAATTTGGAGAGTTTGTCTTCCAAGATGCAAAGTCTTCCCTTAGTTCCCTTTACTAAGGCTTTTCAAAGTGAAAGCAGGTTATGTAGGTTAGGAAGGAGTGTCTCAAAACAGCTCTCTAATTATATGTATGATTGAGGTAATTATTCTTTACAGTAAGTTAGGGCACAGTGTAGACAACAATGGTGAAATGTTGCTTCCCTAAGGAAGACAGTGTTTTGGGGGGCTTGGGGTGGGGGAGCACAGTAGTGTTTGCCTGTGACATATTTATTCTGTAGACACTTGTGTATGGACTACAAACATTGACAATTTTAAGAAAGCCTTGGGTTTTAATTTTTCAGTCATTGGTTATTCTGCTATTCATTATTCTTTGACTAGAGATTTCTTCTATGTGTTTTTTTATGCTAGTTCAGAAAACAGTCGCAGCAGAGATGTAAACAAATTCATAAAACTTCATCAGCTCCTAATATATAAAGTGTAATCATGTGCCTCATAAATTGTTCAAAAGAAAAACCAAGATGGTAATATTGGATTGTTTACTGTGCACAGAAGAATCCTTTTAAGGAATGTTGTGAACTAGAAAAATTCAGAGTAACCAGTAGCTGGAGTTCTTTATTTAGTAAAGAAGGTTTCAAGAATTAGGACCATTGAGTGCAGCGATTAAGGCAACATCCTTCCATCCTTCTAAGCTCAGAAGGTGTGTTTCCTCTGCGCTCCTATTAAGTATTTGTAAAGCGTGCTTCTATGCAGTTTCAGGAAAAAGTCTTGCTTAGCCTGAAGTAGATTTGCTGAAGGCTGAATATTTGTAAAACCTGCTAAAAAATCTGAGAAGTCTGCACTGGGTATATGTGAACAGCAGTCTCCCGTCTGTGTTGCACCATCTTTCTGCCAGTCCCATAACTTCGCAGCCTTTCATCTTGACAGAACTAGGGTAATCCTGTTTCAGGTCAGGAAATTTATTTGTCTGACATAAATGCTGATGTATGCTAAATTTCAGGCTTTGGCTTCTAGGTCTGCGGGTGCACAACACAAAGAAAAAGTGTCTGTCACCTTGTGTATGATCTTGTTTTAATGAGTAAAATAGACTTCCCTTTTGTCTTCTGTGAGTAGCAGAGTGTTATTGTTAGGGGATTTTGAGGAGAGAAAGCTTTTGGCTAAACTGACATGTTTACCCTGAAAAAGGCACTTGACACTGCAAATTGCAGTTGAAATGGTTGATTATGACTTACACATGACTGATTGGTAGGGCTTCACAAGAAATGCTGGGCAGTCATTAATTTTAATCCCTGCTAGAATACAGTAATCTGAGAGTCATGTTACAAGTAAAAACTATATATAAAGTGAACAAGGTGACAATTTTTTAACCATTTTTGTTCTAATTTTTCTTATAATGGAATAATATAATTCAATTCAAATGACAGAATTAATCCGGTATATTTTTCTTACCTGGCATTACAAACCCCTGTTAATTACAAGCTTCTCGTTGGTCATTCATTTACATGCTGTTGCAACTGTTAGTGAATTTTGCATATGAGTGCTTGAAGCATTTGTCAGTACTATTTTTGCTTTTGTAGAAGCAGGTGTAGAGTAATTAGTGAATGTTTTTTCTACAGTGTTCAATTGTCTACAGAATGTTCTTTGTTTTAAAGATGGGGATACCAGTGCAACAGAGAGTGGTGATGAGGTTCCTGTGGAGCTGTATACTGCTTTTCAGCATACACCAACTACAATTACTTTAACTGCTACAAGAGTTACAAAAGTCAATGATAAGAAAAGGAAAAAAAGTGGAGAGAAAGAACAGAACATAGCAAAATGTAAAAAAGTAAGTGAATGTAATTTCTCTTTTTATAACTCTTGTGTTATAATTTACATGTATGTGACATCTTTTACCAAGAGACACTGGTTTTAAAAATCAAGCTATTGTTACTAATAGTATTTTATTACCTGGGTTTAGATTGAAATGTAGTACTCTGCAGTACATGATACAGTCTTCCCTGCCTCTTCCGCCCCCCTGCCCCTTGCCCCTTCAAGTTAGTATGTACTAGCCAAGGAAGTTCAATTTTGTAATTGAGGCAGAATTTGTAAGGAGGAATTGCATTTGCTGCACTGCTTGATAACGGTGAGAGGTGGGGCAGAAGAGGCTTTGGATACCCAAAGAAGAATTCCGTGTCTGAAAGTCTTCAGTTGTGATTATTCTAAGTTCATAAATCTTTGCTGTCAGTTGTCCTGATGTGATTTTATGTCCATTTATTTGAGTTGAAATTGTGTGGAAGGTACTGTCAAAGCTAGCTACTAGAGTACTTCAGTAAAGAGGATATTGACATTATGCTGTTTAGCTACAGGTGTAAACAATGCATGTGAAGACAAATATAGTATATGAGAAGTAGTACATGAAATTTCCGAAACTAACGAGTTCATTTTCTGCAGTTCAGTTTCACTGGTTTGGATGAGAATATTGTCATTTAAAACTAGAGGTCACAATTAGTTATCAGTATATTTTTGGAAATCTTACTCATGTTTCCTTTTGAATGAACGGTTCTCAATATAAACTAACTACCACATATTCTTCTGTTATCTCCCAACATTGTGTGAGATGATTTAAAGAATTCTATTTTGTTGTAGAATAACACACTTCTTTCAAAAATTAATATTATAAGCCATCTTTGATACCTGCTTCCCCTTCCCCCTTTCCACACATAGTGTAGTGAAGGTTGTGGGCAACTTAACAGTATTACCTGCCAAGTATGGGATGGTCTTTAAGTAACTTCTCAGTTACGTTGCCTTGAATTCTGAAATTCTGGAGTCATGTTGTAAGAGTATCTGGACAACTAGCTCTCGCATTCAGTACGTACTTACCTTGGAATGCTGAATTGTTTTTTAAAATACTTTTTGTGAGATGTAATCTGTTGCCCCCTTGAGATTTCAACGTAGTTTGTTCTGTTGTGGTTGTCATGCATGTTTTAGTGAGAATGATTCACACTGAAAAGCTGTTAATTTGTTTATAGATTTTGAATTCCTTAAGAGATTTTGTATTTCCTCCCAAGAATGTAAATATGTAATTCTGTTTCAGGCATTTCGAGAAGGATCCAGGAAATCTTCACGAGTAAAGGTAACGTGATTTTGTTTGTGTTTTGTTTTAAACCTTAGTTTCTCGGTACTTAAATAATATGAAGCATCAAGAATGCAATTTGGGCTATACGTTAAGCGCTAAAATACTCTTGATAACTAGTGTGCTACATATACATCATCATATTTTTAAATTAAGGTGTGAGCACTACATCTTTATGTCCTGCAAAGTTAACTGAAACATTAATTTTTTATTTTGAGAATGTCTGGTTTTCAACAGCCACTGGAGGAATTAGGGCTCACTGGGGCTATGCAAGGAGTTAATGTGAGTGCAGACCTCATTTGAACTTAGTAGCTCCAGCTTTTCATATCTCTAAGCAGCAAAAGAATGAAATGACCATATTGCATTTGAAGGCTAAACTAGCAGTTCTGCTCTGTCACACCTCAATGTATTCATCTGGTGGGACTCTCCTCACTAGTGCTGGTATAGTTAAAGGAATCATATTGGCATGTCTGCCTTATAAGATTTAAGTGTTATAGCAGTCTTTAAATTTTCAGTGAGATAAAAATATGCATGGTGTGAAAACTAGGTATTTCCTATAGTTTATTCATCCTTGCAATATATAAAAACAAGTCGGATGCAATTTAAACTTTAGATGTATAAGATGTGACTTGCCAATAGTGAAGACGGAATTGGGGAAGAAAAATCTCTGTTTTGTGCTTTTTGAATATGGTATTTGTAAGGTTCCATTGTGTTTTTTCATGGTTTTCTTAGCATCACACCTTTTTTAATGCTGTTTGTGTTTATGGTTCTCTCGAGGCACAAAAGAAATGTAATCAGTAACAGGTAAATTGAATTGCTGAACTACTTGCTTTTTTATTAATGTTTAATAGTGTCTCTGCTCAGGTGGATAGAAAAGGGAGCGTTGGTTGGCTGCTGCTGTCCGTAAGGAGCATTGGTTGGCTGCAGCCTGGCTGCTGCTTGTGAGGTCTGGAGGTACAATGGCACTTTCTTTAAAAGTGAAAGGATCTGAAGCACTGCAGAAAAAAAATTTTCAGTGAGGAATGGATAAGGGGAGAAAAATGGTCTGTGCAAAGCCTGTAACATTAGAGTCGCAAACTTAATGTAGTAGGTCTAGAGCTAGTAAAGTTTAGTAAGATGTGAAGTGGAAAAAAGATACAGCATGAACCTTGAAGTTGAAAGGGGAAAGTCAGATCTGTGTATTACAGGATGGAAGCTGGAGTTCTTTTTATTTGCGTATGTTCACAAAAGTTGAGTAGAAAGGGAGATCTGACCCTCCAACTCCTGCACTTACAGATTCATGATGCAGTGCAGTCGTGGGAGGAAACAATGTCAGTTTCCATTCTCACCCCACTAAAAGCTAGAAGACCTATTGAAGGGGGAGTGTATTCCTGAACTTGGGTGATATTTATGAAACAATAAAATTCATAAAAGGACAAAAGCAATGCTACTGAACTCAACTCAATGCTCATTCATGTTCAGAATTTTAAAAAAAACCCACCTTAAATCAGTGGCATAACTTTGCCCTTAATTTTGCGTCTTGTAGTCTTGGTTTTTAATTTTAATATCTTTTTCTTAACTTGTAATATCTGTTCACTTACTTTAATTTTTAGGGCTCAGCTCCAGAGATTGATCCTACTGACAGTTTGAACTTTGGATGGGAAACTAAAATCAAGGCATGGATGGATCGTTACGAAGAAGCAAATAATAACCAGTACAGTGAGGGTGTCCAGAGGGAGGCACAAAAAATTGCTCTAAGATTAGGCAATGGAAATGACAAAAAAGAAGTTAGCACCAGCAATCTGATTTTCAAACCTCCAGTAGAGGTAACAAGCTGTGCCATGTTGTGTTATTGCATGCTGGTTTTGTGCCATGACAAAGATAACCATTTAGATGCCTTTAAAAAAAAGGGGGGGAGGGGAGGTGGGAGGGGAGAAAAGGAGGAAAAAAACAAAAGGGACTTCTCATTCACTTTCTGTATCTTGTCTTACCTCATGTAAGCATCAGAGTTCTAACAGCTTTTTCAGAATTTGTAATTGCTTTTCATACATACTGTATCACCCCGATTATGTTTACGCTTGCGTATCAGTTCTCATAAAAATAACTGAGGTGCTAGCCTGAGCCTGAACATTGAATTGTCCTTAGACTGTCCTTTGTGGTGGGCATGATGCAGTAAGCTTTGCTGCTGCTATTTTTCTGCTTTTTGAGGAGTATCAGTATCGGTTAGAGTAGATCGTAGAATCGTTTAGGTTGGAAAAGACCTTTAAGATCATAACATCCAAGTTATGATGTTGGGATCTTTTTTCTGCTGTGTGTATCCACATGTTAATTGTAAACATTTTTCTTAAGATGTGGTAAGTCTGTGTTCTGGAGGTTTAGGTGTTTGGATAGAATAGAATTTAATTTCCAGTTCATGAAGGATGTTCTGATGGTAGGTGATATACTGATACATTTTTTTTTTTTTTATGCTTGTGATCCTATAGTTTCTAGTTTATGAAGGAACTGTGCAATGTATTTTTCTATCCTTAACATCAGTTACTTATCAGTGTAAAATCAAAGCCATATAACAGACCTTAGCATTTTGCAGCAGAAATCTTGAGGAGTAGTTACTGTAGCAGATTAATGGAAGCATCTTTGCTTCTTTTCCTCAAAGACCATCATGGCATATGGGACACCCTCCTTAGAGGAATATCCCTCCTTTCAGAGCCTTTTGCCTACATAGAGGCTACTTCCTTTTTGATTGGAGATGACAGTTATGAGAGGTGTGATTTCACTAATTGTCAGGGTATGTATTGGTTTTTAATTAAAAGCCATCCTTCCATCTAAAGATACGGAAATAAGAAATTTGGAAAGTCTCTCAGGAGTCTTTATTATTTTATTATTTTCCTGTTCTGTTTCCTTGAATGGATCATGAATGTCCTTTTATGTTTGCATGTCTTGTTTTGTTTGAAGGAGTTGAAGCCTTTTGAAAAGTGTTATGCAAAACAATCCAGCAATTCTTCCTAGTAGTGGTGAGAGTTAAGTGCACTGAGGGATATCGTACTTGAATTGTGAGAAGATGAGTATGTTGGTTTTCAGCCATGTACTGGAGATACAATGGCTAAAGCATTGCTCGAATCTAAATTCATAACTAGTTGTATTGATACGGGAACAGGGCAGTTTGATCAAATCAGTCTGGAGGTTTAATTACAAAAAGGAGGGGATTTTAGTTCATATAGAATTGTTTTATAGTTATGAAAATATAATCTGCTGTTAATAATAGTAGAAAAATGGTGGAAAATGATACTTCATTCATTATGTCTTTATAGAGTTACGTGCAAAAAAACAAGAAAATTTTAAAAGCTGCCAAAGACTTGCCTCCTGATGCACTTATTATTGAATACAGAGGGAAGTTCATGCTGAGAGAACAATTTGAAGCTAATGGATATTTCTTTAAAAGGTTTGTTTATTACAAATGTTATAATAAGGTGACTGTTAAAATGCTGTTTTGCCAGACTCTTGCCTCAAGTACAAATGGGTCTTACCAGCAATGTCTTGCATTTTACTGTTGTCTGATCAAAAATAATTGCAGCTGGAATCTCATTTTCCCCTTATCTTCTGAATATCCTTACAGATCTGTTCAGAAGTTAGTTTCCTCTTTCTTTGTTCTTCCCTGGTTACAGGATTCTGCATTCTCAGTTGGGTAGTTTTGCACCTTAAACCACAGATTGGCAGGTTCTACTATCTTAAAATAATTCAGAAGGTAATGGCAAAGACATTGTCTTTTTGTGAGAGAAATAGATGTTAAGTCCATCAGGCGGAGAATGGAATTGGACACAGGTCAACTTGGGGCCATTTTGCTGCCAGAGTTCTCTAGTTGGTGAAGTTACTGAGCAGAGCAACGCGTGGCTACTTTCTTCTTCCTGTGGATCATTTTCAGTGCTGTCATTAACTGCAGGGACACACCTACTTGGGAAGTTGCAAGAGGCCTGTTGGAGGAGAGAGAACACAGAACTTTTGCTCAGTAAAGATGGAAGGGTTCCTTGGCACTTGTAATAGCGGAACTTAAATCACAGTTTGGGAAAGTATTTAGACGCCACCTTTCTTCAGGAGGGCTGGGTGCTAGTGATACTGCAGGTGTTAGGATGTGGAGGTGTTATTTTTATTCTAAGATGATTCTCTGAGGCATCTGAATTTCTACCTGAGTTTCACTGTAGGACCTGCCATAAGAAAAGTTTACAAAAGGTGAAGAATCTTAACCTTGCATCTTCTGTGTCTAATGTTTGCCCTGTTACTGTTTGTCTTTTTAGATCCTATGCAGAAGAATTATATTCAGGGCTGTAATTCAAACTTGCGATATTTTGAGAGTACATTTGGAGAATGTACCGGCGTAAATCATGAATCTTAAATACAGATGTGTCATTCTCGGGTTAACCCACAGATTTGGTGTATCATGCCAAACATCACATTACAAAGCTAACTAATGTAAAAATTAAGTGATATATAGCATTTTAAAAAATTATAAAACTCTGTTTTTCATTTATCTTTTTCAGGCCATACCCATTTGTTTTGTTTTATTCCAAATTCCATGGGCTAGAAATGTGTGTTGATGCAAGGACTTTCGGAAATGAAGCTCGATTCATCAGGCGTTCATGTACGCCAAATGCGGAGGTAAGCATATACATAAATTGGGTTTTATTTACTTAGAAGTTTCCTTTTCCTTGAGTTTCCCAGCTGATAATTTCACTACAGTTTCTATACAGGTACTTTTTTGGGGGGGGGAATAGAAAAAATGAAGTAATTCATCGTAATAAAATAATGTTCTATTGAATATAGGTAAGGCATGTAATTGAAGATGGAACAATTCATCTTTATATTTACTCCATCCATAACATTCCAAAGGGAGCAGAGATTACTATAGCATTTGATTTTGATTATGGAAATTGGTAAGTATTTAAGCATGCTATTCTAAAATACATCTAATGCTTTTTAAGTTACGTTTCTATTCAGAATGGCTTTGTTTTTATATCATTTAATTTCTATGCATCCTTTAAGAGCAGGGCTCCTTAAGCACTGTATTTACAATGAACTGTGTACGTGTGGGCAGGTTTTTTCTGTATTTTTATTACCGCATATCTGTTGCTAATTTCAGCAATGTTGCAGTTACTTATAAATGATGTGGAAAAGATGCAGACTTTAAATGAATAGGAATAAAGATGTACTATGAAAATTTGTTGTATATGGGTGTCCTGTAGTGTGGGGAGAGCAGAGGGAAGAAAATCGAGAACTATTCGATAATGCCCTGTTTATTTTCGAGTGCCTCTCTAGTACAACTTTCAGGAAGACAGTGTCTGTGGTTAGTTACAAATTCTGCTTAATATGTGATGAAGAATGCTCAAATACACTGAATGCTTAGTGCCTTAGATTCTATGAACTACAACACATTTTCCTGAATATAACTGCTGCCCATTTGATGAATTGGGGAAAGCTCTAATAAACTGTTTCCATTGTTTGTAAGCATTGTTTTGAAATGGTAAAGGAAATAATTAGTTAAGTTTCACTCACATATGTAAGAACTGTTATTCAAACACCTCTTGGAAATCTGATGGCAAAATAAGGCCTTTGAGCAATATAATCTAATAATGATTTTTCTTGACTAGTAGGAAATGTTCTAGGGTATAGGTACATTGTGCAGGAACACCTAGGCTGCTAATAACCTTGGAAAATGGAGCATTGAAGAGCCTGTTTCTGTATGTGTGCTTGCTTGGGTCTAAAAGCAGTCCTTAACTGTTCATGTTTTGCTGCACCAAGGTAATACACTTTTCTGTGGTCTGCTCATAAGTCAGCTTGGGTGCAGTGCTGTGCAGATGTGCCTTCACCACTTTTGGACCTGAACTAGTTACGACCGTAGAATACTACCTGTATTAATCAACTTGGGTTCAGACTAGCTCAAGATACCTTGCACTGTTAAGTGTTGCAGATATACTCCTACATCCCTCACGTGAAGACAACCTGAGAAATTGCCTAGTTGATAGGTTTTTTGGGTTCGTTATTTATCCTTTTAAAAGTATGTAGTAGTAGTGTTTAGTACCTACACCTAACAGTCAGTGTAAGTTGGGTGTGTTTGAATAACATTTCCTGTGTATCCCAGTGGAACTTAAAATTGTACAAAGTGACTCTTGAGTTTTTTCCAGTGTGCTCGTTCTGTAAATTGTGTCTGTGATCCTTGGATAATGCAAGAACTCTGCCTTCTGTACATCTGTTAATTTCTTTAATGTGGTGGTTGTATTTCCACCCAGGATATACTGAGGTTTTAGATGTCTTATGTCTTTTAAGCAAATACTGACTCTGAATTTAAAGAATTCTATGTGACAAACAGCCACAAATTCTATTAACCAGCAGGTGAGATTTTTGACTTATAGCAATATTGTATATCTTGGTGAAAACTTGAGTCAGCTGCTTTTCATATAGTTGGTTTGCATCACAGCAGATGTTTGATGTGAAATATGTCATCTTGTGTGATTTAGTGTTGAAAAGTCTCATTGCTGTACAGCCTAATCAAAATACACCTTCTTGCATTTAATTGCTTTTAGTAAATACAAAGTGGATTGTGCTTGCCTCAAAGAAAATCCTGAATGTCCAGTTCTCAGACGTTCTGAACCTACAGAAAACATCAATACTGGATATGAAACCAGAAGGAAAAAGGGAAAGAAAGAGAAAGATGTTTCAAGAGAAAAGGAGACTCAAAATCAGAACATCACATTGGACTGTGAAGGAGCAGCTGCCAAAATAAAAATTGCAGATAATAAACAGAGGAAGCTCTCTCCCCTCAGGCTGTCCATTTCTAATAATCAGGTATTGACACAAAGATGATAGAAAGAAAAGCTTTTAAACACATACTCTCCTTTTGTAGTTACTAAAGGAATTTTAACAACTCATTGAAAGGGGGTAATGGCAAATAAGTGGTTTAGAATTTTTTATACTTGTCTCAGTTTTCCTTGATATTTTATTATACTTAAAGATACGTTGGTTCCCATACCAGTTTCCCTCTGGATTTCTTTCTGTATCTCTAATGTGAAAGCCTCACGTCATGCTTGCAGGAGCTACCAGTCCATCCTGAAGCACATTTTAGTTGGTTGCATATGTTACTCAGGAGCGTAGTATTTTAAATGTAGTAATAACCCTGCTGCTATAATAAATAAAACTTCAACCCAGAATATTAAGTGGTGGCTGTAGCTCTGTGTAGGAAATGAAATAAAATAAAACTTCAACCCAGAATATTAAGTGGTGGCTGTAGCTCTGTGTAGGAGATGAAATAAAGTGTAGGGAGCAGGGAGGAGGAGGGTGTGTTTTGAAGCTAAATGCTGGGTAATAGGTGGATAGTATAGTAAAGCTACCTAGTAGTATACCATTGGTAGTCAGTTGTAAATTAGTCTTTATTTTAATATGTCAGTTTGAAAGAGCTAGTGGGAGACATCCATGAGATTAGTTATTAACTGAATTTTGCAGAGCAGCTATTAAAGATAAATATTTAATATGAGAAGAGGGTTGCCTTAGTAACTATCTGTCGTTTCTTTTTGGGGGTGGTGGTGGTGGTGATTTTTTTTCTTATACCATGAGTTTTGATGATAATTTAGGAGCCAAGAGAAAGGAGCTATTCTTGGAGGGAGCCATTTCCAAGTTCTTAATCTTTTAACATCACTTAGGAATGAAGGCAATAAGGTGAAAATGAGAATATCGGCCCCAAGTTTTCATAAGTTGATCCAATTGTTCTGGGGTTTTGGTAGTTAAAAGCTTAAAAATGATTGGAAGTCCAGAAGCCATGGCATGTGGCTGACTTACCATGTCCAGAGGCAACATTTAAATTTCCTCAACTTATGTGACTTTTTTGTTGTGTTTGTGTTTTGTTTTTTAACAAGTGATAGCTGGTATTTGGAACCTTCTCCTGAATGTAGTATGCAGGGCTTACATGAAACACTCACAGGAGAACTAGTATTGTTTTTCAAAATTGCACTTAAAACAGTAGGAATTGTGAGAAGAATAAAGCTATTAAAACATGTATTTAAACATGGAAGCCAGTCAATTAACAGCTTTTTTTCCTAGGGTAAAATATATAATACTAAGGTGAAGAAAGCATTTGGGAAAATGTAAATGTACTTTTAAGACATCTTAAATAAAAATTCTGTGTAGTCCTTTATGTAAAAGTGAAATGAAATTGCATATAGGACTAGTGAACACTTAACTCTTTTTCAAAAGTTTCCATTTCTTTTTTTTTTCCAAACCAGAAAACCATTATTGGTTAGCCAGCTCTTGTGTTTCCTTGTGGTATGGCACTGTCGTTAGATTCCATAGGGACAGTTAAAATGGAAAATGTGTCTTTAATAGCGTACACTTTTGAGCTCAGAAGAACTTCTATGTAATCGTCTGTTAACATGTCCTTTGACATTTTTTCTAGTTCACTAAAGCTAATAATTTTTTTTAAATGGGCATGTAATGTAAAAACTCCTCCTTCTTAAACTGATTATAAAGTGGCTAAATCATTGGCCAGTGGTAGTGCCCAAAAGTTTCTATTGGTTTGAAGATTTAATTATTTTTTGTTGTTTTTTTTTTTTTTTTTTTTTTTTTTTTTTTCTTTTTTTGCTTTTTTTTGGGGTTTTTTTTTTGGGTTTTTTTTTTGGTGGTGGTGGAGTAGGGATGGAACCTCAAAATTTCTGTAAGATCGATGTGCTAAAAAAACAGATACAGATTTGTCTGAGCTCAGAATGGAAAAGATCTGATCAGGTGATTAAATTTACAGGTTTATACAAAGGTACAAGTGGATATGAACTTTTTTTTCACATTTTTGTTGGCTTAATTACTTTTGATGGAGTGATAGGAGGATTCTTAGTTCTGTGTAGCTTTTGGTTTTCCCTGGTTTGCAAAAGTAGTGGAGCTTCTGTAAAGCAGTTATTTCCATCTTTCAGGAGCCAGATTTTATTGATGATATAGAAGAAAAGACTCCCATTAGCAATGAAGTAGAAATGGAATCAGAGGAGCAGATTGCAGAAAGGAAAAGGAAAATGGTAAGTTGGGAAGCAAGTAGCTGCATAAAGTTGTCACTAAAGCTTCATGACACCTGCTCTTCCCATGCTAATTGCTGACTTTTTGTAGGCTTGTAGAATCTGAGTATGTATGAAATCAGATCCTTACATGAACTTCAACTTAAAATGCAAGGCTTTCTGTTTGAGAGCATTTAGTCTGGCTTGATCATTGCTTTATGACAAAAACCTACTTTTATCTTCAGATGTATATAATTTTCTCTTGCCTTTAAAAAATATGTTTTAGAAGGCATCGAGATTTTCTTTACTTCACTCTTTAGTATTGCATGCTATTTGTGATGGCCACTTTATAGATAGTATTGGGAGTTGAGATTTTTGCCTGGCTAATCATTTTTTTTTGAGTTCCCAACTTAAAAAGCCCCCCGGAATCTTAATTTTCGGAGGTTGGTAGAACAGTGTTATGAAAACTGGCATATTTTTTTGTTGGGCATTCAGAATGTGAGATAATTGAAATTACTAGTTAAATTAAAAACTTGGCCAAATTGTACAGTGAAATAGTAATATTCGGAACTTTCATTTTATTGCTTGTGCTCACACAGCTTCTGGTAAGTGGAATTCAAGGTGGCACCAAAACTGTCTGCAGCTGCCTGGACCTTAAAAAAATAAAGGGGTATAGGGTATACATTCCTTTTGGTCAGTATTTCCTACAACTCTTTGTCAGTAGCAGAATTGATGAGACTTGTAGTTATTGGACAATAGAAAGCAAAATCTGCTCAAGTAAAATTTTGATACAAAATCTGCTAACACATAACAGCGTCTTACCAGGCTTTCGAGGAATGATTCTTTACCAAACTCTGTAGGATGTATTGGTTTTGCTCCAGTGAATGTGCTGGCTTTTTTTCTTTTTTGGCGCTTTACATTTGTATTCTTGCTAAAGCAAAGCTCTCAGTGAAACTTAGTTACAGCAGAGTTGCTGTAGTAGTTAAAGATGTGATTAGTACTGTAGCTCCATTATGAGGATTGCAAGCAACTGCAAGTTTGCCTGCATTTTACCAAGCAAACAGAGGCAGGTTCAGTGGCAAAACAAAAATGGTTTCCTCCTTCACTCATACGAGTGATATATTTGTGGATATTCTTCTTTCTTTGATATGAACACATTGTTGCTATCAATGCACTGCTGAGCTCCAAGCATTTATCAAAAAAACCCACAAGTTTGTAATAGAAGCCCCTAATTCCGCTACCACTGTATTGTCTTAAGCAGAGCTCTGTGCAGATGAAGAGACCTGCCTCTGGGCAGCACAAGGTCCTGAATTACAGATAGGCAGAAAGTTTAGCTTCGCTGTGTGGCCTAATGTTATTTTGGAATAGTGATTCTTGATGGTATGTTTTGATGTAGTTCATGACACTTGGGAAATCGTGTCAGAGGGCAGTGGAGCTTTCTGTTGTTCTTTCATACAGGTATTAGTGTTTCATTGCTTTTAAACACTATACATGCAAGTAAGGGGCTCAGAGATACGTTTTCTTTGTATGCTTATAGGCCAGTAGTAAATAACTGTTTTTATCAAGTTCTTAAATCCAAAGTAGAACTGTCATCTTGTTTGTCAGGCTTTGAATGCAAGCCTTGCTTCAGAAGTCTGTAATAATGACAGTCGCTGTAACATTACTCTGAGCTTTCGCTGAAATTGATCTGCATGCACTGAACATGTTCTGAAATATTTTTTTTTAAAAGTATGTATTGATGTATATGAAAGATTATGACTGAAACTTAATCGTGATTATTATTAAATCCATCAGACAAGAGAAGAACGGAAAATGGAAGCTATCCTGCAAGCTTTTGCCAGACTAGAAAAAAGAGAAAAAAGAAGAGAACAGGCTTTGGAAAGGATCAGCACAGCAAAAACTGAGGTTAAATCAGAATGCAAAGAAGCACAGATTCTCAATGATGCTGAATTTGTTCAGGTAGTTATCTGGAACTTTAGTTTTAAAACTAGCTTTTAACATGGCATGTTTTATCGGTTTGGATTCAAACTGCACCTCAAGATGTATGAAATCTTTTTTTCTTCTGAACTCAAATATATTTGATGAAAATCTGTATAGTTTTTTTGATATTACATTGTGTTAGCTCCTGATTCTTTTTTTGAATAAAATATGTATAGAATTTGTTTATGAGGAATTTCAGTTTTATTAGTTTATGCAAATACAGCAGCTGTATAATTCAGTCTCTCTTTGAAGTTCAGGGTGGGGAGGTGTTTGCCAATGCTGACTTTAGGCACAGGAGGTGGCTTTCCTTAGGCACCCTATATAACCAGTGGAGAACAACTGGCTTCTTCAGTGGGTTATTCAGGAACAGATTATAATCCTTTCTTTTCTTTTAAGGGAATTATTAAAGTATTGTTTGTTCTGAGTTGCAGATGTTAGTTAATGTTCCATAACCAATTTTTTTCTCTGCTGTTGGTAGTATGCTTCTTACCTTGCACATACTCCTACAGATTCTTAGTTCAGGTTGTTTCCCTGGATAATTTCTGTCAGGATGCTGTTAAGTACCTTTTGTGACAATGCTAAACACTAGTAAACTATACATTACAAAAAGGATATTGGACTGAAAGACATGATGTAAGCAGCTGATTTCTAGATTATAGATGAATGAATGTGGTATGGCAGTTCTTGCATAAATCTGTGGTGATGTGGCCAGTGACTGGTGTGTATGAATACTCTGAAAATGATACAGCAGGTGCTTGGGAGGAAAATACAGCAAATCTTGTAGTTTGCCTTAAAGAACAATAGAAATATTATCTCTGAAGTCTTTTAGTTCTAACAACAAAAATGAGATAAAGGCTTTTTGGACCTGTAAAGGAAGGGGGAACTGACTTGTTTTAAGAAAGATACATAGCTTCACATGTGTATGGAATCTATTTACTGGACTTTTATTCTGTACCAGGAACCAGCAAAAGAAGAAGCTGCCACCAAGCCTACCCCAGCCAAAGTTAATAGAGCTAAACAGAGAAAAAGCTTCTCACGGAGTAGAACTCACATTGGACAACAACGTAGACGACACAGAACTGTCAGCATGTGTTCAGATATCCAGCCATCTTCTCCTGATGTGGAAGTAACTTCACAACATAACGAAACTGAGAATGCTGCACTGGTAGCTGAGCCTGAAGCAGAAACTGTTGTTACAGAAATGGTTGCTGAAACGGAAGCTCCAGCACTTAATAAATGCCCTACTAAGTATCCTAAAACAAAGAAGGTATGTCTTTTTAGGGATGGGGAGAAAAGGATGGACTTGAACAGAGTTTTAAAAAATTATAGATTTCTGCATTAGTATGCAACTATATTGAAATTTTTTTAAAAAAATGTTGACCCATTTCTTTAAAAATCACCATTACATAGTCATTCACTGGTAATAAGAGATTAAAAAAGGTATGTCTAACATCCATTGGTACAAGTTATTTTGGATTTTAAGAGACTTCCAAAATACATCTTTCAGAAAATTTTTGGAACAATTGTTTTGTAAGGGAAGTACTTTCTAGATGGACTGAAGTAATATACATAACTGAAACATAATTAAAGCTGTTAATTTAAAAGGAAAAAAAAAAAAGTAAGTTTCCCTTTCCTTCCTTTTTTTCATCTTAGAAGGTATTTTAATGATACCAAACAATATCTCAAAGGAAGTAATTAACTTCTAGTACTTCTGAGTTGTCTGTTCTGAAGTGAATGAATTTAAACACTCTGTGCATGTGTGGAGGGAAGTTTCTTTCCCCTTTTTAGAGCTGTGTTTTTAAATTTTTTTATTGGACTGCATTGCAAAAAGCTTGAAGAAATACCACAGGATTTTTAAAGACACTCAGAAATCTCAAATCTGCAAGTGTAAATAAAGAAGTAAGACTTCCTGCTTTAAAATTCTACAGACTGCTTTAAAATTTACTTATTTTTTAGCACACTTTAGAAGTTCTTTTGAAAATTTTATTCTGTGGACGGGAGGGGGAGGAAGTCATAGGTTGAAACCTATTGTCAGATGAACAATAACAATTTCAAGATGGTTTTATCTTAAACCCCCAAACATAGACTTCTGTTTTTTTTTAAAAGGCACCCGAGTCATCCTATAACACTGCTCATTGCATCACTGGTAAATGCTTTTCAGAGAGGAAATGGGAATTTATCTTTCTTTCTCTTTTTGTATTGCATAGCAAAAAAGGACGATACCCAAGAAGTCTGAATTTTATTGCACTTTTTTGCTGTTCCATAGTATTAAGGTTAAATGTTTGTGAAATACCTCATTGCATTTTTACCCAGTGTACTGTACAGTACAGTGAAGCACAGTCGTAACATTACAAAAATCTGACGAAGCATTTGCTTAACTTTTGTTCTAGTAATGGTACACTATTTCCCCTCAGCTTAGGTGCTCAGACACAAGTTTAAAATATTTGTCTTGGAATTCTGTTACTAAATTCACATCGTAAGTACAGTTGATCTGGGCAATTGTATAGTATGTTCAGTGAGAATTAAATACAAAAGAACTAAAAGATATGAAGATAAAAAGACCTATGATACCAAGTTGAGTGGGTGTGTTGATCTCCTTGAGGGTAGGGAGGCTTTGCAGAGGGATCTGGACAGGCTGAACAAATGGGCTGAGGCCAATTGTATGAGGTTCAATAAAGCCAAGTGCCGGGTCCTGTGCTTTGGTCACAACAACCCCCTGCAACGCTACAGGCTCGAGGGAGAGTGGCTGGAAAGCTGCCCAGCTGAGAGGGACCTGGGGGTGCTGGTCGACAGCTGGCTGAACATGATACAGCAGTGTGCCCAGGTGGCCAAGAAGGCCAACGGCATCCTGGCCTAAGAGGCCAACCGCCCTCGGGGCCTGCATCAGCCATAGTGTGGCCAGCAGGAGCAGGGCAGGGATTGTGCCCCTGGACTCGGCACTGGTGAGGCTGCACCTTGAATCCTGGGGTCAGTTTTGGGCCCCTGACCACAAGAAGGACATTGAGGTGCTGGAGCAGGTCCAGAGAAGGGCAACGAAGCTGGTGAAGGGTCTGGAGCACAGGTCTTATGAGGAGCGGCTGAGGGAGCTGGGGTTGTTTAGTCTAGAGAAGAGGAGGCTGAGAGGAGACCTTATCACTCTCTACAACTAGAAAGGAGGTTGTAGTGAGGTGGGTGCTGGCCTTTTCTCTAAAGTAACAAGTGATAGGACAAGAGGAAATGGCCTCAAGTTGCACCAGGGGAGGTTTGGGCTGGATATTAGAAAAAAGTTTTTCACTAAAAGAGTGATGATGGAATTGGAACAGGCTGCCCAGGGAAGCGGTGGAGTCACCATCCCTGGAGGTGTTCAAGAAACGTGTAGACGTGGTGCTTAGGGACATGGTTTAGTGAGTTAGGTGGTGTGGGTTGACGGTTGGACTTGATCGTTGAGATCTTTTCCAACTGTCATGATTCTGTGATTGTAAATGTTAGTTTACCAACCCCCAAAAAAACTCCACAAAAAAGACCAAAAAAGTAAACTACCCAAAACTTTGGTATGTAAAGCAATTCTATGGTGATTCTTTCTGCTGTCCCCATTATTTAACTAAAACTGTCCTTACTCTTGCCCTGTGTATTTTAAACTTGCAGCCTGTAAAGTGGCTGTTTTCTGGTTTGTGTAACAGTTGACTAGGTGACTAATCAGACAAAACATTTCTAAAAGCCACTGATTAAAAAAACCTCCTAAAACACTAATATTTTTTTTTTTCTCTCTCTGTTTAGCACTTGGTCAGTGAATGGTTAAGTGAAAAGAGTGATAAAACAGGAAAGCCTACAGACAGTCTATCAGAAAGGCCTCTACGCATAACTACCGACCCTGAAGTTCTGGCTACTCAACTGAATTCTTTACCAGGTCTCACTTACAGTCCACATGTATATTCAACTCCAAAGCACTATATTCGTTTTACTTCACCATTCCTTTCAGAAAAGAGGAGGAAAAAAGAACCAGTGGAAAACATTACTGGCTCTTGTAAGAAGGTAATGCTTCCCTTCATTATGGTTCCCCATCCCATATGAATTAAAAATAAATCCTTATTGGCGAGTGTGAATTCAGGCAGAAAAAAGCTTGTTTGCAAACCAGTTCTGTCACGTGTAGCACATTTGGAATTGTTTGTCACTGATTTGAACTTATTGCATTACAGCGTTGGTTGAAGCAGGCTTTGGAAGAAGAAAATTCAACAATGATTGATAGATTTAATTCACCATCGCAAGAGAGATCTGGAAGTCCAGCCATCAATGGTGAAAATAAAAGTCCTTTGTTACTGAATGACAGCTGTTCCTTAACAGGTGAAGCTTTTACTAATACAGTATCTTAAGAGCTATGTCTAAGCAGTTAAATCTGGAGGACTGTTGGTTGTTTTTTTTTAAAGTATTCAGTTAATAACAATTCCAGGGATATTTGCACTGTTTTCCGATACTTTTTTGAAAGAAAAGCTTACTTGCAGAGTGGTTGGGATTTTCCTCCCCTTTAATGTGTAATGGATACTACAGAAGTAACCACCACCGTATTTCATATTTTTTACAGTCAACAAAAGACTAATGTTTTGGGCTTTTGGGCTATGAGGGTATATCATAAATTCACTTTCCATGCTGTTCTGTATATTCAGAATTCCTTTTAAATTCACTGGGCCTTGTGTTGCACAATGGCAAAAAGCTGTGTAATCTTTTAAGCATAATACAAAATGGGAACATGACAAAAACCTAAAACACTTCCATAAGGATATGGAGTGTATCAGATGATTCCTGTGTGCAGCCCTGAACTTGGAATTGCCACTTCTCAGATGATCATTCTCAAGAATGCATAGAAGTTGACGTTCCCTTCTCTGGAAACACACAGTTCTTCCTGTCATCCTAGCACACAAATTTCAGTTGTTGATACATCTGTAGGTTATTAGAGTTTTATTTTTCAGGAAGTCTGTAGGCTGGTAAGAGTTCATCGTTCAGGAAGCCTGCCCTGAAGAGATTTTTTTTGTAAACTTACTGATTTTTTTAATGTGGAGTTCATAGTGTCATTACATCAGGTACTTAACTGTAAGTGATTACTGTATCTAGATATCTTCTAGCTTTTTTCTAATTTTAACACACAGATCTAACCACACCGCTGAAAAAACGAAGACTGTATCAGCTGTTGGAGTCTGCATTCTCAGAAACCTCCACACCTACTCCTTCTCCATATGCCACACCAACTCATGCTGACACCACTGCCTCTGAGCCATCATTGTTTGCTACTCCTCCTAGGGTAAAAACAGAAGATGAAGCTTCTAGAAACGGTTACAAACCCATATATTCGCCAGTTACTCCTGTAACTCCATGTATACATGGAAATACCATGCACTTTGAGGTGAGATATACAATGAATTTCAGTGTGTTCAGAGAATGTGTTTACACGTTCTAGTGTAAATCAATATATATACTCCTGCTACAAGGGAGTGTTTTATGTTTCTTCAGGTTAGAAAAGAAATTGATTTGCAATTTCTTCTTATTTATTTAGAATATTTCCTCACCTGACAGTTCCCCAGAAATAAAAAGGCGAGCTTACAGTCAAGAGGTAAGGATATTTGCTAAAAACTGCAAATGGTATCTTGATTGCACCTGTATGGCTGCACTGTGCTTCGTAAGTGCTTTTCACCAGCCATTGGAAGTTTCCTGGAATGTAAACAGTGGCTTCCCTGCAGGTTTTACTTGCTTATTACTGTGTATTTCCACTTTACCTATTTCATCCTCTATTTTAAACTTGTTTCCTCTCTCCTCTTTTTCTGTTTCACTTAAAAATCCTGATGGCTGTTGTAGAAAGCAGTAACTACAGCAATTTATAGATAAAATAAGAAAGACAACACTTGTGCTTTTTAGGCTGTAGTTATATTTAAAATAATATTTTTCCTGGTTACCAGCACCTCTTAGGTGTTTTTGTTGAGCTTAATTATGCTCAGAGTGAGAGGGCAGAGCAGAAAGGTAATAAATGAGTTTAGGTGGATTAGTTCAGGTGCAGCAAGTGCTGTGGGAATGTGCCTTGGGCATTCCCAGCTGCTGTGCTGGGGCTGAGGCCAGGTTGGCTCCAAAACTCCCACAGGGACCCTCCTGCCCTGAGGAAATGTTCCATGGAGTGATAACTACCTAATTGGCATAAAGATGTTGAGCTATAAACTTAATGTCTCCTAAAAGGAAATAGGTATGTAGGAATAAAAAGATTTAGTGGGTTATACTAATGAAGGCTTTCACTTCTGGTGAGTCATGTAAATGAATGATCCAAATACTCTCTCCCGGGAGTTAAGCACATGTATGTATATTTTTTTAGGTCAAAATCTTAACAAATGTTGAAATAAACAAATTTTTTCATACAATCATAGCTGCTGACTGATGACTGAATTTAACAGTTACTTCTAAACTATTGTAATTGAGTATTTTAATGTTTATCTGACTCAAAAAGAGGGATTTTATTTAGGAACTTTTGCTTTGTAGCACAAATAATTTTAAAAGGATTAATGAAAACCTTAAAACATGTTGGTTTAGAAAAGATACTGCCAGCCATGGATATGTGCTGGGTTCTTCATGGTTAATACCATTTTAAGAAGTACAAAAGTCAGTTTCTGTATCTTTTAAGTTGGGTTTTGTTTTTTTGTTGGTTTTTTTTTGCCTCTGCAGAATGCTGGTTTAAATATTGTATTAAAATTCTCAAGTGTCTGAGAAAAGCTTTTTCTCTTTTTTTTTAATTTTTCTTGAAATAAATATTCTGACACTGAGGATCCCTTTTATGTTGAATTGAAGCAAATGCTTTGTAATTTCTTGGCCAGGGACTTGCTTCTGTCAAAGCTCCTCCCCTTCCTCTGCCAGTCATAAATAAAGTGTAGCATTTAAAGTCTATTTTTACTTTGGTTACTGTGCATTTTATTAAACTGCTTTTACCTAATACATGGCAATAGTAGAAACAAGTGTCAGGCTGTAGAACTGTTCCTTAAAAATAGATAAAGTCATGGTGTGGGAAGGACTTGGATCTCACTTAAAGGCACAATGGAATAGTGAGAATAGTTTCAGTTTTGTTGCAGTATGGAAAAATGGTTGACATGCTTTTTCTTCATGCAGGGATATGACAGAGCATCGATTCTAGCATTGAATTCTTTCAGAAATTCCAACCTGACAGAAATGGGCCTGCAAGAAATAAAGACTATTGGATATTCCAGTCCAAGGAATAGGACTGATGTCACACGGCAGTGCACTGGAGAAATGGAATCTGTGTCAGACCTCCAGCTGGGACTCGAAGTAATTGAGCAAAGTGCACTGCATAAAAACCTGGAAGCCCCCACACATGATAGGACTGATTCAAACAGCCAATTAGAAACTGCTCATTGTGGACGGGGCACAATTTATTCTTCCTGGGTAAAAAGTCCTGACAGAACAGGTGTAAATTTCTCAATGAATTCTAATTTGAGGGACTTGACCCCTTCGCATCAGTTGGAGGTAGGAGGTGGATTCAGAATAAGCGAGTCAAAGTGCCTGATTCAAGACGATGCTAGAGGCATGTTCATGGAAGCATCTGTTTTTTGTACTTCAGAAGATGGAATTGCATCTGGCTTTGGAAGGACTGTCAGTAACGACAACTTGATGGATGGAAATTGCACACCCCAGAATCCTCCACAAAAGAAAAAGGTTATAATTTTAAGAATCATTTGGTCTGTCTTATATAGTCTGCTAATGATATTTCTATAACAGAAAGAACCATAATATAATAAAAAACACCTGATGGCTGATCTTCAGATACTGCTATGTAATGTAGTAGACGTTTTTCAGGGGAAATAATGAAGAGCAAAGAGTAAAGCTGCATACACCCATTAGTAAATTTACTTTTTCCAAGTAATAGATACAAATTCACTTTTATGTCATATGAATCTTAAATGAATTGCTCAATAAATAATTGCTTTTCAGGTTTGAAAATGGTTGCTTATGCCACCAAGTATTACACTGTTCTATTATACAGAATGTATACTAGCACTAGAGATCATATACTGTGAACATTTGTTATGAACTACTGCAAGAACTTACACTAACAGATTTATGACACTGAGACTTCAAAATTCTAATTTTTATATACTTAAGGTATCTTGGTGCCACTGTTCCAACTACACAGAAATCCCTAGTCCGAAAAGTCTTTTTCTTGGCTTGGCTTCTTCTAACTATGGTGTTTGAAAAATAAGCACAATCTAAATTTGATGCTCTTATGATACAGTTCTTGTAGGTAATTTGTGTGGTCATGGGCAGCTTAAACCAGAATGGGAAGTTACCCTGCATAACTATCTGTGACTGCACTTCACTGACAGGTTAGAGTCCCTTTGCTCCTTGCTGAAAAGATGACAAACATGGAAGGCAGTAGTCTCCAATGCAACAGCTTGGCAGTTCTGCCTCAGACTGTAGAACTCTTTCTTGTTTGAAAGATGTGATTTGTTTTCTTTACGGAAGTAATGATTAGGGGCGTGGGGGCATATTCTGTATGCAGACAATGGGGTTTTGGATTTTTGGTCCCATCCACACCCCCTGTACATGCCTCCTCCCCTGTGCTCTGGGGGCATCCTGGTAGGGAGCAGTCATTCTTCAGAAGTTCTCTATCAGAACTGGATTTTGTTTATTGTTATGTTTGAGACATAACTGAAACAGGACAGTAGGCGCTCTGTTCTTCTTACCTGTAAGAAGGTTGTAGGCTTTCCAAGGACACACAAAAAATTGCAACTTTTTACAGTGTAAAAAGAGGAGGGAGGGAGAAGTCTCACCTAAGGAGAAGGTGAGAATTCAGGAATTTTGTAGGAGAATAATAGAAGCCTTTCCCTCAGATCACTTAAGACATGAATGTCCTTATGCAGTTGTTAAATTAGGTTTTTCCATATTTCAGCCTTTCTGTGGGCATTTGCTCCTCTGTTTTCTCTCACCATTGTACAAGTTCATTGCATTTCAACATGGTCCTGTATGTAGTGGCCACACTGCGTAGACTTCATCCATTCTTACCACTCAAGCTTTCTTTAAAGCAATATTCTTCAGGGGATCCCAGGAATGTGATGTGGAAGTAATATAAATTCTTTCAAAGAAAGATCAATTCTTAACCTAAACTTTATTTTATGCAAAATCAAATATTTTAACTGTTTTTACCCTGACATATATAGATGAGTCTTCAATGGACAGAATTATTTAAAAACAGATAAAAAACCCTGGGACTGCAAACAAAAAGCTGCTTTGGTTTCTCTCTCTGTGTAGAAATGGATGCCTCCTTTTATTGAGGACGAAGCCAGTTAAATGTGAATTTTTTCCGTTCTTGCATTTTGATTTCTTGTTTTGTATGCTATATGGTTCAGAGTAGATTGCTGATAACTATTAGGAAAGATATAGAGACACTAAATGTAATTTCCACCAAACTAGTTTCTGTACTGAATAAAGTAGGTCTATATTTCAGCTTTCTGCTCCAAGTCTTGAACATACATAGTGGAAAATATTTGAACATTTATTTTTCTCACTAAAGGTAACTTACCTTTAAAATGTTTCCTATTCTATGGAAGCTTCTGTGTACTGATTTTATAAACACACACACTGTTGTATGGAGCTTCTGTGTACTGATTTTATAAACACACACACATATATATATGCGTGTGTGTGGAAACCACTTTTCCCTTCATGTATCGTTTTTGGTAATAAACTTAATATTTAGCATCAAAATATATTCTTAATCAGTCTCTTTTAGCAGTAAAGGCAGACATTCATAATAAACTGGGGAAAGAAAGTTTAAGTTTTGAATGATACATGTTAAGAAAAATGTATGAAGACCTTAGAGAATACTTTGATTTATGGAGTAGAGTGAAGCAGAAGCGTGGTGGCTTTTTCATATGAGGGAGTCAGCCTGAGAGCAGGATGCAACATCTCTTAAAATTAGCTTTACTGTATCAGTATACTCTTACTAATGCTGCAGTTTCCAGGAGAAACTCTCAAGTCCCTTGTAGATTCAACCAACAGTATGACTTCTGCAGCGAACCTTTTGCTGAGCTGTATCATATTCTTCTTCTTCCCTGAGGCAAAATGCATACTTATCTTTTCTCTACATTGTCCTTATAGTCATTAGTTGCTCAGTACTCTGTAAGTTCACTGCAGATGTGGTGAAATATCGTCAATTAATCTATCCCCATTTTCTTTCAGAACCAAGTAAATGGTGTGTCTTACTGAAAGAATACATTTAATTGAAAGTTCCAGAAACGAAACAAGTAAACTTCCCTTCTTAATGTTATGTTTGTTTGTTTTCTCCATAGGTATCCTTATTAGAATACCGTAAGAGACAACGAGAAGCTAGAAAAAGTGGCTCAAAGACAGAAAACTTCCCGCTGGTTACTGTATCTCCTCATGCTGCTGGTGGAGGAAATATAAGTACTAACAATGGTGCTAACGATGGGTATAACAACAGTGGTGAAAATGGGGAGCAAACTGATAACAGTGCAGGCCTACCTGTACCACTGCCAACTACTGTTTATAATGCAGCTCCAGAAGACACTGGCAACAACTGTGCAACTAAGGAATCTTCTTCCAGCGAGAAGAATGAACCAGAAGTTCAGTGGTAAGCCACAAAACTACTGGATTAACATGCTGTAGAATTATTTACTTAAGTCTTTTCTATTTGAAACCTAGTTTTTGTTGATAAGGATGCAGTTGCAGGTTACTGATTGGAAGCCCTTCCTTCAGATTAGTAGAGAGTTGTCTCACCTCTTTCCTCTGAAATATAGCAGATACCTGATAAAGATCAGAATGTATGAAAAATTACCCGTAAGATAGTGGTTAACTTACATTCATTCTGCTTTGCTTTACTTTCTAAGAGCAAAATAGGTATTGGCTTGAACAAGACAAGTTGCCTAGTTCTGTAGATTATAAAATTGTGTAGGTAAAGTGTATTAGTAAATCCGTAGAAAATGGCATCAATGAGTAGGCATGCTCCTTCCGCCAGTGCACAAGTTGGGCTGGATGTGCTTGCTGAGGTGTGTGGAGGAGGGAGCAGCAGCAGCAGGACGGAGCGGGTGCTGTAATGGCTGGGAGAGATTTGAGTTGGATTCTCAGCGTGGCCTTGGCTCTGCACTGTGTCCATCTAGCTCCACTGCTTCGTCTGTGGGCTGAAGAGAATATTTTTCATCTTAAGTCTCAGAACTTTTACAGAAGTACTGTAGGGAAGAAGAGGGGAACAGGATAATAATCTGTATGGATTAGCAAAAACTTCTCGAAGACTTTAGGAAACCTGTTTTTCAGTGATTTGACTGGAGTGTTTGTGGTGTTTGCTGTTGCTTAAGTGCAATGTGCAGGGCTGCATGCAGTCTGCCCAACGGTTCCTTCTGCTCAAGCAGAGAGCGTGTGGTGATGCTTGGATCGTTGTTTATGATCATTACATGGTTCCCCTGGGTGCAGACCATATGCTCTGTTAGATGCTATGCCAGATACTCCAACAACTAGAAATCCTGGGGAGAGATACAGTGTGAAGGGGGATGACACAGAATTACTTCAGTCTGTGTAAACATTGCACAACACTTTCCACTACGTTCTTGGAAGCCTTAAGGTAGATGGTCAGGTGTGGTCTCCAAAATGTTATTAGCACAAAATAAACCCTGCAGGTGTTCTTTATGCTGTAGTGAGGGCCTGACAGTGCTGGGGATGAACATGGGCTGAGGAGTTGAACATCATTCTGCTCGGATGCTCCAGCTATTGCAGAGTAGAAGGATTTGTATAGAGCTAGTTGAAGGGAGGACTAAGTGTAGTCTTCAAAGCTTCACTGAAAAGGGGCTGTAAGTTCACTTTGCAGAAACTAGTGTACTATATTGTAAGCAAAGAATGTGGAAAACAGGATAAACAGGGAAGAATTTATTAGTAAGTTTTTGTAGTAATCCTGCAGACAGCACCAAAATTTATTTTAGTATAAGAGTATTGTAGAGTAATGCTGTATTCTCTTGCCTGAAAGAAAAATTGAGTTTTGTAGCGTGCTGTCATTACTGTTCTTGATCAGATTGTGATTGTCAGATGTAATAGATTGTAAGAGAGAAGATAGGACTGGAATTTCATACCACTGTCTGCCAAGTTAAATGTAGAAGCTTAAACACAGATATATTTGTAGTTGTGCAGTATTTACAACTATGGATCCAATCCACTATTAAAGAGCAAATTCTTTTAAAAATATATATAAATTAAAAAAAATGAAAGATACTATTTCTAGCTTTGGAAGAAAATAGTTTTCTACAAATGGAGACTATGAAGCCGTACCTGCAACCTTTATTTTTTGAAGTGTAGTTTTTGACTTGTCGACTATTTAGAAAGGAAGAAAACCCCACAGATCTACAGATGATGTTTCCATGCTCAGAGGAATGGTCAGTTCTTGTAACAAGGCTGCAGGAAAGTGGTATATTTCAAGTGGGGGAAAATAGATACAAAATACTTAACAAGTAGCATCCCTTATGTACAACTAGTTCTTTGGCTCTTACATGCAGTCAACACTGTAAACTTTCTCTGGCCAAGTATTTGCATATACATTGTCCTAAATTTGGTTTGTGGGAGTACATCCTCTTAAATTTGAAATGTGCTTCTCTCTCCCAGGACTGCATCAACGTCTGTGGAACAAGTGAGAGAACGAAGTTATCAGAGAGCTTTACTCCTCAGTGATCATAGGAAAGACAAGGACAGTGGTGAGTTGATTTATCATGTTGAAGGTAGATAAATCTAACCAGTTCCCATGTGGTAGTCCGTAATCGTTCTAATATTGTGTTTGGGTCTGCTTCATCTGTAGGGGGAGAATCACCTTGTAGCCCCTGCTCACCGTCTCATGTTCAGTCTCCACCTTCATCTCATTCAAATCTCATTTCCCAGTTGCAGCTTAAGGTCCCTTCTTTCACTGAATTTATGGAAGGTCAGTAAGTGGATGACCTTGTATGGCACTTGACATATTGAATAGTCTCTTACAGCAACTTTATATTTGACTTTAAAAGAGCCATTAAAGTGCTTAGCTGTCTTTGCGAAAGACTTGATTTTCCCACTTTTATATTTATCTCTGCTTTGTGTTTGTAGAACCTGATCCTGAAAATCCAGAGCCTACTTCTGAATGTCCGTCCCCAGATACTTCACAGAAGACTTGTAAAAGTCCGTCAAAAACAAGCAAGGTAATGCGCAGTGTTTGCATGTGTGTTGTACGATATGCATGTGAATATGTAGATACATCTGATTTATCTTAAAAAGTTTCATCTCCTGATTTACTACTTAGATGAACATGTATGTATGTAATGTATCTGTGCAATACTTTAACATAGGTAAAACATTTGTAAGAATATTTGTTGTAGTCCATACATACTAAAAAGCTGGTTTATGCTCTGTTCTTTCAGTAGCTATACCTATTTGTATGTAATCCTGCATTCTGTAGACACAGAAGAGATTCTGTCAGTGGGTTCAGTATCACCACAGTTCTGCATGTTGAATGCTGAAGAACTGGCAGTGAGAACTGAGCATAGTAATGTGATTTGCCTGCCTCTCACTTTCCCAGGAGTTTGTTCTTGCTGTGTCAGGGTTTGGCACTGTTTGTCAGTAGAGACTGATAGGGAGAAAGATGTTGAGTAGCTGCCTGTGCAGTAATAAATGAAGTAATTCAGGTTGTAATCTTCAGTCTGCTTGCTTGCATTAAGCCAGTATGAAAATGTTAAGTCACTCTAAAAATTGTTTTATTTTTGTAAACATTCTTGTCTGGAATTACTTCTTTCAGACTTGGAAATCTAAAATGTAAACAGATTCTTACTTTGACCTGATGGGTCATATTTCTGTTACTGCTTTAAAACACACGTGCCTAGTCTTTAAATTTCAAGAATGATTGCTATACACTTGGTAAAAATAGTGTCTTGCTAAGTTTAAGCTTTGTACTGTTGCTGTTTCTCTTACAACAAATATATATCCTGTGCCTCAACACCTTTTCACCATCAGGAGGAGAGAACATCATTCTGAGAAGTTCTTTTCTTTTAAAATGTTCAACAACACGTCTGAGAATGTTTTGCACTGACTGACTTTCTTTTCATTCTAGCCCTCCTCACCGAGTCCTGTAGTTTCAACGCAGTCACTTGGGAAAACGCCCACAAAACCAGATTCGCACTGGGAAACTGCAGCCAACGCACCTGAGGCCGAATGTGTGAATCAGCCAAAATCTGAGCTGCAACAGAAACAGCTGACAAATAACGTCCAAGCACTTTCAAAAAATCATCCATCTCAATCACATCTGCGCAGTTCTGCTGAGCAACTTCCACATTCACAAAAGTTGCCTTCTGCACCTTTGAAGCTGCATTGCCCCCCTTCGCCCCATGTAGAAAATCCTCCGAAGCCCTCTACCCCTCACGCACCTGTGCAGCATGGTTATCTCTCACCAAAGCCTCACTCACAGCAGCTGGGATCTCCATACAGACCTCATCACCCACAGTCACCTCAAGTCGGAACGCCCCAGAGGGACACACACCGCAACTTCTATCCAGCAGCACCGACCCTTCAGCCTGGTAATCAGCAGCAGGCTGGCGCACCCCTGTTCCCTCAGACAAGTTCAGGACAATCTTCAGCTTCTTACAGCCAGTTTAACCAACAAAATTTGAACAGCAGCGCGCCACCTCCCCCGCCCCCCCCACCTCCTTCTTCTACTTACTATCAAAACCAGCAGCCCTCTGGAAACTTTCAGAGTTACAGCCAGCTGAAGGGCAGCATACCCCAACAGACTGTGTTTTCATCTGGACCAAATCAAACACTTCCTGGTGCCGCAGGTCAGCCAGCGGTGCCAGGACACCACGTAACTGCAGGGCATTTTTTGCCGTCTCAGAACCCCAGTATTCATCACCAGGCGTCAGCATCTGCTGCTCCACCTCCTCCTCCGCCACCGCCTGCTCCGGGACCTCACCTTGTAAAGCAGCCAAGTAGTCATCAGCAGCACTCTGTAGCACACG